TTAGCATAGTGTCTGGCACGTGGTAGGAGTTTAACAAATGTTAACAAAACACTATTGATAGCTTAGTTGTATGCGGGATGAGGATTAGCTGACTGACCTATGCAACCCTATAAATCCCTTTCCTTTGCTTGTTTTATTCTCCTGTATAGGTCTCGAAATGTACATGTCCAGCCTTTGAGATGACCTCAAGAGTTAGAAAAGTTCCAAAGATCCTGGGTCCTTGGACAGTGCTGACTACACTTCAGGAGAAGTCCCTAACGCCTACTCTAGCCCTCTGCCTGTGTGACCATTCCTTATTAGTGTCCTTTGCTAGATCATCAACTGTCTCCTACCCTTTTAGTGTCTAACTTGGGCCCTCTTCTTGAGCTACACTCTTTCTCTTGGTGTGTGTGATTGGTTTCCATCAATTCATTTCTCCTTTGGAGAAGCAGCATGGTATGGCAGTTTGAGGATTAAAATTGTCCAGCCTACAAGAAAAACCACTGAGGCAGAGCTCTGAGCCAATGGGTCTTTATTAAAGGGTCCATGGTCCCCTCTAATGAAATAGATCTTCTTCATGATCTGAGATGCACTCTTCTTCCCAGGGTCTTATTTTTATAAGGCTTGATACCAGATTTGGTACCTGAACAATCTGAAGAGGCAATGCAAAGTACAGGCAGAATCCCATTGGCTGCTAGATCTTGCTTCCCAGGTGAAAAAAAATGGTATGTCAGCAGGCATTCTTGGGTTGGGCAAAGCACGGGGAATCTCCACTGGGTAAACAGTCACCTGTTCATGTTGGACAAGAGAGAATGGTCTGGAGGTACAAAAATAAGATGGGGGACTTTCCATGTCATTAAGTCACCTCTGCCACTTTGGGCTTGGTCACCACAACAAGGAAAAACAAAGGTGGGGGGCCTCTAGTTACCTTCCTGTGATTAAACAAATGAACTTACAATCTGCAGTTCATAGCTCTGGGGCCTAATATGCAGATTTATGATCATTACCCCCTTTGGAATCATAGCAAACTGATCAATATTGGTTGGAATAGAGTAGGGGTCCAAATGAATTATTTCTCACACTGCAGGATGTGCTGGATTTGCAGTCAGAAGACCTTGCTGCCCAAGGCACCAGTTCTGTGATCATAGGAAAGTTGTTTTACCTCTCAGCGCCTCAGCTGCCTCAGCTGTAAAATGGGAATAATAATACTGACATTATTATGTTGCGGGGGGTTTATGAAGAGAGTACTCAGCAAACTATAAAGTAATGTATACGTGTGAATTATCACTTTTGTGCAGATGAATCTCCAATCTCAAGTCATGTAAACAAGCTTTTATTAAGCATCTACTACGTACCAGGCACTGTGCTAAGTACTGGGGATACAAAGACAACCGAAAATCATCCATTGCTCTCAAGAGCTCACGGTCTAATGAGGAAGGCAAGATGTAAACAACTCTATAAATAAGCCTGTATATCATAAACTCAAAATAATCAACAGAGGGAAGGCACTAACATTAAGGGGGACTGGTAAAGTTTTTGGTAAAAGACAAGATTTTTCCCAGCCAGGAGGCTCAGATGAGAAGGGAAAGCATTCCAGGCATGAGGGACAGTCAGTGAAAATGCCCGGAGTAAGGAGATGAGTGTCATGTGCCAGGAACAGATTGAAGAGTATGTGGAAGGTAGTGAGTTATAAGAAGACTGGACGGTTAGAAGGGGACAGGTTATGAGAGACTTTACAAAGCCAAACAGAGTATTTTATATTTTTCCTGAAGGTAATAGAGAGCCACTGGGGTTGATTGAATAGGAGGGTGACATGGCTTGACCTGTAATTTAAGATGATCATTTTGACAGCTGAGTGGAGAATAGAATGGAATAGAGAGAGAAGAGGAAGGGAGACTAATCAAAAGGCATGAAAATAAACCAAATGTGAAGTGATGAAGGCCTGCACCTGGGTGATGGCAGTGTCAGAGGCGAAGAATGATACATGATAGATAGTCTTCCTTTTACTAAAACCCAGGTCTGGCTGTACAACTCACCAACTCAAAAATCCAGTGACTCTGTTGCCTCTAAGATGAATTCTAAATCAACCAAGCATCAAGCATATTTTAAGTACCACAATGTGCCAAGAATCGTGCTATGTGCTGGGGACACTCAAATACATTTGTAATCTCAGTTTGGAAATTCCTTCCCATGTTACAGACCACAAACCATCCATCCAAGCCTACTCATCCATGCCCAGCCATCCTGTGCAACTCTTGTTCACATTCTTCCATAAACTGCCCAAAGGGGGCAGTGTCTACCCAACATAGTGAAGAACTTCCTAACTTTCTCCTGACAGCAGGAGCATAGCAGTAGAAGACTCTGGCCTTCCACAGTTCATCCCTCATCACAAGACCAGACCATCTTTTCCTCCTATCACACAGTTCTTTAATTATGTCTTTTGTGCCTGTCCTTTTTCAAAGATCTTTGAACATTTCACACACCCACCATTTACCTTTCCATTGCCCTTTATAGGGCATTCTTTTTTGTCCTTTGGAGATTGTTGCATTTTAGGTTTTGCTGACACATAGGCACACTGGCCCAATGTTTCTATAACATGGCATGCACAGAGCTTCCCTGGCTGCTTCCATCTGACTGTATATGCTGGCTTAGCTCTCTGGCACTTTGGGGATGGAAATGCCACTGTCTACTTGTGGCCTACTATGTGTGGCTCAGCATTGAAGGACTCTGGTGTTTGGGTATAAGGAAGCAATCCCCTTATTGGCCAGCAAAAAGGAAGAGCCTGTGACTAAGTAGTTCTTTAAAAAGAATGTCTGCAATTGATAAATGGTCGAAGGATATGAGTAGGAGTTTTCAGATGAAGAGATTAAAGCCATCTATTGTTATATGAAAAAATGCTCTAAATCACTATTGATTGTGCAATCAAATGCAAATCAAAACAACTCTGAGGTACCACCTCATACCTATCAGACTGACCAATATGACAATCCAGTGAAATGACAAATGTTGGAGAAGATGTGGGAAAATAAGACACTAATGCATTGTTGGTGGAGTTGTGAAATGATCCAACCATTTTGGAGAGCAATTTGGAGCTATTCCCAAAGGGCTATAAAAATGTTCATACCCTTTGACCCAGCAATAGCACGTCCAGGGCTGTATCCTAAAGAGAGCATACAAACGGGAAAAGGACCCACGTGTACAAAAATATTTATAGCAGCTATTTTTGTGGTAGCAAGGAATTGGAAATTGAGGGGATATCCATCAATATCCATCAATTGGGGAATGGTTGAACAAGTTGTGGTGTATGAATGTAATAGAATACTATTGTACTATAAGAAATGATGAGCAGGCAGACTTCCAAAAAACCTGGAAAGACTTGCATGGACTGATGCTGAGTGAAGTAAGCAGAACCAGGAGAACATTGTATACAGTAACAGCCATGTTGTGCAATGACTAACATTGATAGACTTAGCACTTCTCAGCAATGCAAGGATCTAAGACATCTCCAGAGGTCTCATGATGGAAAATGCTATCCACACCCAAAGAAAGAACTGTGGAGTTTGAATGCAGATTGAAGCATACTATTTGCTATTTTTTTCTTCTGTTTTGTTTTGTTTTCTCTTTCTTATAGTTCCTCCCATTGGTTCTAATTCTTCCTTACAACATCACTAATGTGAGAATATGTATAATAGGAATATATATGTATAGTCTATGTCAGATTGGGTGCTGTCTTGGGGAGAGAGGGGGAGAAAAATTTAAAATGCAAAAGCTTGTGGAAGTGATTGTTGATAAAACAAAATAAATTAATAAAAAAAAAAATAAAAAGAATGGCTGCACCCCTGTCCCTCCTCTTTTTGACCGTTGGGGCATCATAAAAATGTGGGACTTCTTGTGACAAGCGGGGTAGGGGTAGTCCCTTTCCACCTAGCAGCAGGTCTATTGCTTCCCTGTGGCAGCTAGAGTAAAGGGAATCAGCTAAGTGAGTTCATGCCTGGGCCTCTTCTGCTTTGTGTTTCTTTGCCTGTGACAGAACATCAGTCTTGAGATGAACATACTTCCAATATTGGAAGCAACTTTATCCGTTTGTTTTCATGATCCTGGGTCCTGCATTGAGGTTGACTTCAATTCAGTCACTCTTCTAAGTCTATCAATAACTACTTATTAAGCACCTACTATGTGCTAGGCGTTGTGCTAAGTGCTAAGGATACAAAAAAAGGCAAAATATGGTTCCTGCCCTCAAGGAGCTCACAATGGAACTGGGGAAGATAGTAGACTTTCACCTTTCACATGCTCCTTCACTTCACAACCATTTTTCTGAAAAGCAATGTAGGATAAAGGGGGACCTTGAAGTTCTATAGATGAATGGTGCCCTGAGCCACCCTTAAATAGAAGACCTGGGAGAGGTTCTTTGATGTCCACCCCCTACCCTCTGCAATCAGAAGGAGGAAAGGGTTCCAGAGGCAAGGTGGTATTGAGGAAGAGTGAGCTTCAGAGGTGATTCCATCTTTCAGGAAGATGAGTTTCTGCAGAGACTGATGAAGTTCGAGAGAGCAGCCAGGTGGTAATTGATTAGGTGGCTGCCCTGGGCCTTTTCACTGGGGAGTTTATAGAAGACAAGCACTTCAAACCCTGACCTGGCTGGCATAAAGGCATGAATTTGCAGGAGATTATTTGGGTGATGCAGAGCTGAGGTGAAATGTATCATTCAGCATTCCTGCAAACTGTTTTACATTCTGATTTCAAAATCTTAACCTCCTGGTATAATGAGAAGTTGTATGCCACTTTTTCAAGTATTTACATTTCTGGGGCAGCTAGGTGGCACAGGGGAAAGAGCACCGGCCCTGAAGTCAGGAGGACCTGAGTTCAAATCAGGTCTCAGACCAAACACTTGACACTTACTAGCTGTGTGGCCTTGGGCGAGTCACTTAACTGCAATTGCCTAAAAAAGAACAAAACAAAAAATTTACATTTCTTTCAAGGCTCATTGAGTATAATAGTAGTTATTAACACCTGTTTAAGCTTTTATTAATGCCCACGTGTTAAGCATTCCTTTTGTGTGTAGCAAAGTAGTAGTAGTAGTAGTAGTGGTAGTAGTAGTAGTAGTAGTAGTGCTGGTAGTAGTAGTAGTAGTAGTAGTAGTAGCAGCAGCAGCTAGCATTTACTTAGTGCTTTGAAGTTTACAAAGTGCTTTACAAATGCTATCTCATTTAATCCTTTACAACATCTCTAAGTAGGTGATCTTATTATCCTTGTTTTACAGATGAGAAAACTAAGACAGACAGAGGTACCATATTTGATTCATATTGTACAAGGAAAAGCTTTCTAACTTTTGGAAACCCTAGAAATGAGCAAACCTTGAGCTTTAAGTAATTTTTCCCCTGGGGTTCTGAGCTGCGGGTGAGGAGGTAAGAAAGGGAGTTCAAACCTTCTTTTAGATGGTCCAAACTTGAACACAGTCCAGACCACATGTTTGGATCCTGAGCAGATGGAACCTTTACTTGGGAGGGAGAGAGTACAGCACTACAGCCCTCCTTCACCCAGAATACTTGTTAGATTTGTATGAAGAGGATGAGTCCTTGCCTATGTGGGCAGCTTGGGGTCATTAAAAAGAAGCTTTGCAATTTTCTAAAAGCAATCTATTTTATTGTCCTTGTCTTGTTTGATTCTTGGTCCAACTCATTGTTCAGTTGTATTCTCTGTCCCAAATAGACATACTGAGGGGCAGTCAGAGCCACAAGTTGTCCACACATATGCATGTTATAGGCATTCTTCATTTATTTGGTCTTACCTCTGTCAGACCAAATTGTTAGTAATGACAGATACATTCCAGTATGCTCTGCAGTGTTCCAGGGCTTTATGAAATAAGCACAAAATCATCCGCAAACAGGAACATCTGAAGAACCTCTTCATCCACAGGAAGTCCTTCTTCAACTTATACTCTGTACTGGGTCTCTCCTCCCCAGCTCATCAGCAGCCTTTATTTATCTATCGAATTGAAACTTTTGAGGGTGGTCTAACACCATCATTTTATGGAGGCTAAGGGTTAGTGTCTTCTCCAGAGTCACATAGACCACAAGTAGCAGAATCAGGATTTACATCCAGGTTCTCTGACTAGTAATGGACTGTTTTTCTCATTATGCCATGCTGTGTCTTATAGGTACATTATAGATAGAGTTCTTACACACTGGAGTGTCTAGAAAAGGATGACCCTTCTTTAAGGGACCCTTTGGCTAAGAGGATGAAACACTATGTTATAGTTATTGGAGGACTGGTTGAAGGAACTGGCTATATTTAGTCTGAAGAAGAAAAGACTTGGTTAGGAGGGGAACATGACATACTAATATGTTGAGTTAGACTGACTCACTACACTTTATCCAGAAGAATGCAGCCAGTATGGTAAGGGGACCAAACACTCTGCCATAAGAGAAACAGTTAAGGAATTAGTGATGTTCAGCTTTCAGGGAAAAAGACACAGAATTGGATTTGCTGATAATATCTGTCTTCAGATATTTGAAGGTCTACCAGGTGATTCTAATTGCTAGCAGGAGCTCATGAGGGAGTCCAGGGCTCTCTGGCCTCCAAAGCTGACAGCCTCAGGCCTTGACACTGTCGCTATGGTAACCGTGTGCAAGGTGACCTTCCCAGGTGGGCTACCACAGCACTACTTGCAGTCATGCTTTCAACCCCCACTTGGGGTCTTCTCTTTCAAGCCCCAGGGAGAAGGGGCAAAGGGACCTGGGAGTCTCAGTTTATTAACCCCAGCTACTTCTTTGAGTTTCACGTGTGCTTTCAAGACTTTGAGACCTTAAGCTAGCTTGGCTTAGCAAAAAAATACAACAACAAAAACCCCCGCATGTGTTTTTGTTTGGTTGGTTGGTTTGTTTTTGTTTTTATTATCTTTTGTTATCTTTCTCTGTTCAGTCATTAACACAGCAAACAACTCAGGTTTGTTGACCAATAAGTTTCATCATATTTTCAATATTTAGGAAATAGAACAAAACTTCCAAATCCAGCTGCCTCTGAAAAAGCCTAGAAGAGAAAGGGGAACTACAGTAGAAAGGGAATGATCAGTCAGTAAACTGGAACTGGCTTTCCAGCCCCTCCTTCTGTGAATCAGGAAAGAGAAGCCAGTCATTTTGATTCGCTTTCGCAATAGGAAGGGGGCAGGGAAAGAGGGGGGAATGGCCCTTAAGAGAGAAGTGGGGAGCCTGTTTCTGCACCCAACTGCTTCAGTTACTGGCTCCAATTACCTAGGTAACTGTTGATGGTTCTTTCAACATTCTGAAGCTCGCAAGGTTGCAATCCGATCCATTCTGTCTCTAATATTCATTCATTTGTAAGTGTTTACCCTTCACTGCCTAAAAGTATGTTCCCTCTCACCCCTCCCCTCCAGGTTTCTCTGGTGCTCTTACACAGATGAGGATGTCTAGAGATGTCTCTCTGCCATTGGCTCCAGGTCCCACCAATGGTGTTCCCCCAATTGTAAGGGTGGTTCTCTTGCACCACAATTCATATTAACCATTTAAAAGTTGAATTAGCTTCTACAAAGGAATATTTAGTTCAAATATATAATAATAAAAATATACACTACTCATCATATGAGGCATAACTTCTCCCCTCCCTTCACATCACATCACCTAATACTTTTGGGGGGAATTAGGTTCACAGTTTAGCTCAGTTACTATATAAACAGTCCCAAGCTCCAAATCCATGGAGCTCTTCAGAAGACTAGTGAAGCCTAAGAACTCCTTAGAATAATGTTTTTAAAGACATGAAATTTTAAAATAGGATTGACAAAAAAACCCCAATTATATTGAAATATGATTACCAAAATATTAGAAATTCATGGAATCCCAGGTTAAGAACTTGCTGTGCTAAATTAACTTTAAACTTTAGTCCTTTTCATCTTTTTGGTTCATAGAAGATTCCACCTTTTCCTTTCTGTTACCCCAAAGTTCAGTTTACTTTTTAAGTAATAGCCCATAAAAAGGAAAGTCTATTTTGTCAGTATTTTTATAGGTATACTAATTTAGCTTTTTTGTGTTTCTGTTGCAAGTTTGCAAGGTGTTTGTTAAGTCAAATGTTCTGCTCAGCAATATTGTTTTCTTTTTTTTCAGAATGCCTCTTTTACGTCAAAAATCCATTTTTGTTGATTGTTATTCTCAGCTTTGTAGGATATTTTAATGGAGTTGTAATTTGAGCTCCTATGTTTTTTTTGCAATAACCTTTACCAGTCTCTATTTTTTCTGACTAATTAGTAATCCTGCGTCATTCTGGTTGGCGTTCCTTCATAGTTTAAGTTCTTCCTCTTGCATGTTTACAAAATGTATTGCTTATTATTGACATTTTGAAATTTAACTTTCACATGCCACGGTGTCAAGTGTGGATTTGTTTTCTTGTGGCAATCTGTGGATTTGATTGGTCACTGCTTTCTTTATTCAAAAGTTCTGGACAGTTTTCTACCATTATTTCCTTCACTAGAGTATTCAAGTTTATAGATAGATAGACATAGATATATCTATGCCTAAAAATAGTGATATTTATTTAGGTAATGTGTTATATGTAAATATAATATATGGGTATATGTATTTGTATATACGTTCATATTTACATACATACATATACCCATATATTTACGAGATATAAGGGCAGCTAAGTGGCTCGGTGGATAGAGCTCCAGGCCCAGAGTCAGAAGATGTAAGTTTTAATCTGGCCTCAGACACTTACTAGCTATGTGAATCTGGGCAAGTTGCTTGACCCTGTTGGCCTCAGTTTCCTCATCTGTAAAATGAGCTGAAGAAGGAAATGACAAACCACTCCAGTATTTTTGCCAAGAAAACCCCAAATGGGGACATGAAGAGTTGGACTCAACAACAACATAAATACATATTCATATGTATATAAAGTTCTTCTGGGAAACCTATGATATTTAAGCTATCTTTGTACAACCTGTCTTCAAAGTCAGTTGCTTTGCTTTGTATAGACTTCATCTGTTCTTTTAATGCTACTGCCATTTGCTTTTCTTCTGGTAAATTTTCTTCCAGTTCTGAATTTTTAGGTTTTTTTCTCTGAATCTGTTCTTTTCTTTTTCAAAACCTCTATTTCTTTGGAGAATGGGTCCATCATGGCTTTCAGGTTTTGTATTTGGCTGATTTTTTTCATTCTGTGTTTAGAGCTCTGTTATCAGATTTAATTTCATTCCTAACATCTTCTAGCAATTTTTTTCCTCTTTTGGACCATTTTATAGTTGCTTGTCAATGTCCTTTATCTGTAGAATTCTCTTTTTGACCAAGGAATCTTAGTTCATTTTTGTTCTTGGCGTAATACTTATAGTATTTTGACTTCTCCTTGAATTTTTACTTATTCTTGATTTATGAGCCTTTATGTTGGTTCATTTGCTTGTGAGTTTCTACTTGGGCTTTCTCCCTTGACTCTCTTATTTTCCAGTCACTTTTCTCTGGTTTCCCTTGACACTTTTTGGTTCATCTCCCTTCCATGCTAGATGTCCTCAGATTCCTTCACTTACCTCTGAGGGCCCAGTCGAGGTCCTGGTCCAGAGTAAACTTTCAAAGAGAGAGAGTGCTAGTTACACCTGGATTTCCAATCTCCTTTCCTTTCCTCACTACCATGCACAGTAACTTAAACTGCTCATAATCTTCCAGCTTCTCCCTCTTTCTTTCATATGGCTTGGCAGAATATGTGCCTTCTTCCTTTTTTGTGGTGAGGGGGTTTCAGGTCAAGTCAATATAGGGAAGGGGGGAGACGGACCCTCACAATCAATCCCCAATGCACAAACCTGAGGGATCACTTGCAACAATTGTGTCTGGCACGCAGAGTGGTTTGGAGGGAAAGGATGCTAAGTGGGAGCTCTAAGCATTTTAAGTTCATTTATCCTACCTTCTACTACAA